CACGGAGAAGCGCCACAAATCCTTTGTTTTTCCCCACCATACACGGAGCACCATCAGTACATACTGAGAGAAGTTTATCCATAGGTAGACTTTTTTCTTGAGCAAACTCCATGAAAGACTTGAATAAATCCTCACCTCTTGTGGACCCTTTTAATGGCAGAACAGCAAGACTTTCTTCGCGCAGTGTGTCACCAACAGCATATCTTGCAATCACGCTGAACTGCGACAAATGGCTCACGTCTGTTGACTCATCCAAAGCCAGAGAAAAGAACGGCGCTGCATTTATGTCCTTCACTTGCGTTTCCTCCACTTTGTTTGCCATCACGATGGTACGATCATGAACAGTTCTTGCCGACAGAGGCATGTCTTGTATCCGTTTGATTATCTTGTCTTTGTTCGGAAGATCATCAAAAAGTTCATTGGCTACATCCAGCATGAACGTTTTAGCATACTCGCCATCTGTGAATGGTTTTCCGTTCCTCAATATTGCTAAAGAACCAGCAAAGCTAGCCGAATTATAGTCACCTTGCCGGGTCCATACGCGGAGTTGCTGCTGGCTAGCTTGCACCCTGCTCAGAAGCTCTTGGCACGCTTTCTTTCTGCTGTCTCCCGCAGGGTATTTTGATGCAAAGGTAGCGTGGCGCGTGTCGAAGTGCCGCTTTACATTCGACCGTTTCAACGATGTAATTTTGTCATTGCAAATTAGACACACCGCAGAACCCGCTCTCTCCACAAAGGCGAATTCTTCAGTCCATTCGTCCTGAAATGTACGATACTCGTCGTCTTTTTTTCTTTTCGCCATCTTCTTCGTCGAAGGGTTAGCTTTGAGCTAATGACCGAGCAGACGCAGTCTCAGACTGATTCAAAAGGGGGCGTTTACCTGTTTTACCCAGCAACGGCAAACGTAGGCCAGTATCATCCAATTAAAATAATGGACAATTGCTCCTGCAGCCCTGAACAGGACATGCGCAGTGAAAAATCGATGGATGGATTAAAACAAGTGAGAATATTTGGTTTTATCTGCGAGCCATATGCAATCATCAAAAGAGCCACATCTGGCTCGCGAGCCATAGGTTCCCGACCCCTGGTGTAGGTGGTTACCCCTGTCAGTTGGCGCACACCCTTGGGCTCAGGACTACTATAAGGCTGTAATCACAGGAGTCGTGGCATTGGCAGTATTGACCCCCCAATCCCACCAGCCACTGCCCCCCACCAAACACCCGGGGAAGTTAAATTGTATCTGCTGTGGGCATGGTTGTGGGAGGCAGTACGTGGAGTAATGCACAGTGGTGTACATTTTAGGGATTGTCACTAAATTTAGCACTTGTTTTAGTTTCCCTGGTGCTCCTCTGCCGTTGGCGAGTGGCATCCTAAAAAAAGAACACTGGCCGTCATGATTGCCCACCACTTTGCCCTTCCGTCTCCACCCTAAGCATCACCCCTCTTGTTCTTCCTCCCCTCTCCCCCAACGCCTCCCCCGGTCGTGTACATCAGAGACGCCGCCACCTTTGACTACCATGCTATGACGTCCGTGGTAACAAAACCCGCGGCAAAACCCACCGCTCGATTTGAGGGGTCGCGGCGTCCGAAGGTGGCGCACGTGACGTCACCACCACTGCCAATGGCCACCTCAGGTGGAGCCAGTGACGTCACGTCAGTGGCTCCATCTGCCCAAGTCGTGTTCCCCGTTTTGTTATTTTGTTTTGTCTGAATGTGCTACTTTATGTTCATACGCCTGCCCTTGTAGGGCGCCTTTGAGAAATATGCAAAGTTATTTACACACACCGTGCAGCTTATCTTGTATGTTAGATGTATACAGCAGCGCCGTATTCCGAAGCTGCTTTACAGCAATTATCATTTTATACGTAAGATTATTAGTGATTTAGATAAAGAGTGTGGTTATTAATAGTGGTTATGTAGTCATGGTGATGGTATGGATGACAGGCGGCAGAGGTTCAGGAGGGGTTGGGGTAGGCCTAGGCGTAGCTGAGATGGTGCTAGGGAATAGGATGGGTTTGGGAGTAGGATAGGCTAGGGGGTAGGATGGGCTAAGGAGTAGGATTGGCTAGGGAGTAGGATGGGCTAAGGGGTAGGATTGGCTAGGGAGTAGGATGGGCTAAGGGGTAGGGTGGGATAGGGGGTAGGATAGGCTCGAGGGTAGGATGGGCTAAGGGGTAGGGTGGGATAGGGGGTAGAATGGGCTAAGGGGTAGGGTGGGATAGGGAGTAGGATGGGCTAGGGGGTAGGATTGGCTAGGGAGTAGGATGGGCTAAGGGGTAGGGTGGGATAGGGGGTAGGATGGGCTAAGGGGTAGGATTGGCTAGGGAGTAGGATGGGCTAAGGGGTAGGGTGGGCTCGGGGGTAGGATGGGCTCGGCAGAAGAGGGCAGCCCAAAAGTCAGACATAGGGTTATTATTTTACTTAAATGTTCAAACTGACTCCCATGAACGTTAATTATCTTTTGAAATAAATGTAAAGATTTTTTTAAATATAAAAAACAGTTTTTTCTTAAGATTGCAGGTGTGATCTTTGAAGATTCATCAGTTATATTTCGTCTCAATCATTCAGGGTTCTAGGTCAAGTTTTGTTAACGACAGATTTGAGAGGACCCCATGGGAGGAAGAAAAATAAATATTAATAAGGACAATAGATCAAATATTAATGAAAGGAATAAACACGAAAAATGTGGTAATGGCAGTGTTAAAAACAGTCGAAATAACCCAATGCGTCCTGATTTTGAGCCATCCTGTATTATATTTTAGTTTTCAGTTAATAGTGTACAAACAAAGACATTGTACCACAACACTATCAAGGATAAAAACCTTTATGCTCAGCCATTTTGTCAATCCACTGCTGGATGCACGACACCAACTAACGGTGCGCCCTTTTTAAAAAGCAGGCTTAGCGTTTGTTTTTCCGTTGTCAAAAAGCCACTCGAGCAAAGGACGGGATGACCGACAATGAGAGAGTGAGTACGCTCACCAGAACATTGCGATCTTTAAATAAATAAATGATCAGCCAACCCCGGAGTCGAAGAGAAATTGCTGCCTCTCGCGTAAAGAGTCAAGCTTCTGAAGACGACGGGCTACAAAAACACATGTTCTGAAGACTCAACGTCCTGTTCTTTAGTAGAAGTTACAACCCAATCGCGCACCTAGGACTCCTCGCAACCACAGTGGATGGCTTGATCCTATTAATAATAGCTGTGTGACGTGAAGGGGCATGCAGTAGGATGATCTGCGGGCACGGAACGGCGACTATTTTAAAAACAAGCACACAGCACGTCATTCAGCATGCGCTTTGTGATTATTTTACCATTTTTCGCCAGTCAATTTGTAATCTGCTGTCTCATGCTGCGGCAGGCATTGCTTGGCCCCCACACGGATAAGAGGATTTACTAATAAAGGCGAGATGGATCAGCAGCAGTTTTGATCCGTAATTGGTTTCTTTTGGGTTAGCTCTTCGTGCAAAAATGTGTGCCGTAAAACCCTCCTTCACCCGACTGAGCCGATTACTAGAAGCTGTCGCGTGAATCTAACGTGCCCGAATTTATCACCGTTTCAGCAGTAGCACCACCGGTGGCGCGTTGGAGAGAAACCTCACGCAACATTTACGTGGCCACAACATTTCCGTCCAGATTTACAAGAGTAGTTTTACTCTATTCACGTGGATAAGGAATAGGGATTTGTATTTATTGGGTGGCTTGAATGTCCCGGCGTTTCAAGAGTGCCTTGTGTCTCATCTCATATCAATCACCCCAATGCCCAGCTGGAGAGTTCTTTTTTTAGCTCGGCATTTATGGTTCACTAATGCAGAACGATTCGGCTAATTTTGTGAAATGTCATTATTCGGGGGGTCACAATGCTGATTCAAGGATTGATATTCATATTTTTGCCATGGTTTTTTTGGCTTTATTTTCATTCCTCATCTCGTTTGATCCGTCTAATCGTACAATCGGCCTCGGGGGGGGATACTTGTTGTAGAATGCAAAATACTTTATATTTTAAAGATCAAGGCACAATGTATCACAAGTAAAAAAAAATTGCACGAAGGTGACCGATTGGTTGAGGGATCAAGTCACACAGCTGAGAGTCTGAGTTACAACCCAGGTAGCCACTTGCGATCTAACGTGGTTAATGACAACAGCATAACCGGTGCTTTCGTAAAGCGTCGTTCACGCAAACAGCATCTCACAACGCTACGCAGGCAACACACGTGGAGGTGCACACACAGTCCGACGTTTTTAGCCAATCCATGAGTGTTGATACGCGCAAGAGGAAACCAGGGTACCCGGAGCAAACACACACCCACCCACGTGCGAGGGGGTAACACTCTATTCCACTGAGAAGGGAAAGATGATATCTGAATTTTGCTGCGCCACCTTCTGGTAAACCAGGGTATTGCACGTCATCGACGCCCACAGGAAGGGAATTTTGCAACATCTGTGCAACGATCCACCAACCCTCGCTGCTGCTGCCTCCACAGCGCTGGGTCACTACTGGCAGCCAATGTGCAGCAGTGTGGCCACCACCAGCGCCCTGCTGTTCCCAAGTATAGACCAGTTGAGATACTAATTTGAGGCTGAGTCGACCGAGGCGAGGCCCAAGACCGGCTTAGATAATCTTCACTGGTGTTGGTCGTGAGCGGGAATCGAACGCTGGCGGCTGGGTCCTTAGCACAATGCGCTCACCGCTGCTCGACCGCTCCCCAGGAATGAGAATCTTTATTTATGCTAGAGGAATCTGACGAGCTATAAAGCTCTTTTTCACAGATGTCCAGTAGGATTCAACACAAACAACAGCCACCATTTGTCACTAAGTGGTGGTGACGTCACCATGGCGCTTGTGCCAGACTAGGTGCACTTTGAGGCCACGTGAAGTGTCGAAGGCTTGCTGCTAGCAAGTCCTGGGATAGACCCAGGTGCCTTTTGTTGATTGACTGAGATGACTGACAGATACACCACTTATGCCAACAACAGACACACACACATAATCACTCACAGTCGAACGCACAGCTCCAGGTCCTCGTCCTGCTGAGCGACGATGTGCTGCACCTCCTCATAGGTCCTCCCCATCAGCGGCATGCCATTCCACTCCAGCACCTGCATCCCTGCCACAGCCACGGAGCACCTCCGATTAGCACGGTTGGCTACGTACGGTGCGAAAGAAGTTCAACATAATCTTCAGCTGGAATCGAACCCGGGCGGCTGGGTCCTTAGCGCAATGTGCTAACCGCTGCTCCCCAGGAATCAGAATCGTATTCATTCACAGTTAGCAGCCATGCACCGATGCATCAATTCGTCGATGAATACCACAGTGTAAGTTCTCACGGTTGTGCGGTATAGCTAACAGGTCGTTCAATTGAAAAGCGCTCTGGAGTGCTCTGCCCAATGAACGCACCCCTCTGATGTTAGCCCTGGCTGGGAATTGAACCCCGCAGCTTCGTGGCGAGGCACGCCGACCGCTGCACCGCACTGCCACCACTGACCCCACAAAACACCGACACACACAATCATACTATTGTATGTTAGTTTTATAAACATCATCAGGTAATCCAGTACATTATGTGTTGAAGATAACGTGCGTAGAATTACATTGAATAGTTAACTTCAAAAAGCTTAAGGAATTAGCAAACCTCGTTACTTTTCTAAAGTAATCCTTCCAGCATTATTCAAAGTTGGAGCATTCACCTTGTACGCTTAAAATTCAGTGCAGTATCCACAACTGGCCGGGACCACTCTTGAGAACGTGGGGTCGCGAATTCATTGTGAACACGGTGGGAACGCCACTAAAATATCCAGCGTGTGCTGCAACAACATCCTTGCCGTGCCAGGCACTTTGCACATTTTTTTTCTTCGCAGACTTCTCCAATTACATTCACCGCGTGCGGCAACAACTCTTTGTGCGAGTGTAAAGCACACAGGGACGATTCGGTTTTCAGAACACGTATGTATGTATGAATAACCCAACCAATAATAGGGATCCATTGAAATTCATATGAATATATTGACACCTCTGGTCTTCGTACCTGATTGGCTCACAAGTGACGACATCACATGTATCGCTCTATTTGAGACCGAAGCAGGAGGATTTATCCACAACTCTGGCTGTCACCTGATGATGCTGGTTGTAATTACTGGCTAAACGTCATGGTACTTGTATTGTAAATGTTGTGAGTTTACTCTCCAACACACCGGTGTGCTGTATAGTAACGAATTGCCATGTTTTATTTACGTGACAAAGGTTACTAATTTGGCTGTGTCGGGTGGTGGCGGATTTAACGACACATTCATATTTATGCGATCTAACTCCCCCCCAAAAAAACTGTTATGGATTATGTGTGTTTGTTGAACTTCTTTCGCACAGTACGTAGCCAACCGTGCTAATCGGAGGTGCGGCGGGAGGACAGCAAACTTAACACGCACAAAACACTTGTGCACGTGCACGCTGGCCTGTTGTGGTTGTTGTTTTTGTGTTTTATTTCTCGTTATTGTCTCCGCGCTATAGACAGGGACAACAGAAATGCCATGGCGCGTCGTGCGGCTTACGGGGTGGGGGGGTAGAGGGGGCTCACCGGCTCCTGACTCACTGCAGATCAATCGATGTGGATATGTGGATATCGCCCTCTCCCCCCGCTGTCTCCTAAACAGTCGGGCCTCAGTGTTGGAAAGGTTAGGGCCCCAGACTACAAAGTTGGCAGATTAAAAATAAAACAACTACGCAGTCATAGTCTTTGTTTTTTTCGGTAAAGTCACAAATTACGAGGCGGTAAAAGGGGTAAAGTCGCAGCCCTGCACTTGATGGGTCATTTCGCTGCTGACGGAAGGGTCTCCGCTACAGGAAGCTCTGGAGAGCCCAAACTATTTTGGCCTACTCTTCCTTTATTGTGACCTACTCTTCGCGCCTCCGATTAGCAACGGTTGGCAACGTACGGTGTGAAAGAAGCTAAACGTACGTACGTCTTGGAAAAAAGAGTACCCACACTTTAGGGCGCACCAGACACTTCACCGGAGTGCACTCATTAAGACTCCCGTGTGGAAAGAGGCGGGGAGGGGATTTAATAAATAAATAAATGATCCTCTCCCATTGTTTCAACTCTGCCGCACCGGGAGATCGAATCTCAATTGCAGTTCCCGTGTCCTGACCGTTATGCGACGGAATCTTCCCGACTACACAGCCGCTTACCCATTTCGGTAGACGTTTGAAATAAAAACGGTTCGACACAGAGACATTGGCTCTCTGTGTGTCTACGTTGTGTGTGTCTCTCTGTGTGTCTCTATGTTGTCTCTCTCTGTGTGTCTCTGTGTTGTCTCTCTCTGTGTGTCTCTGTGTTGTCTCTCTCTCTCTCTCTGTGTCTCTGTGTTCTCTCTCTCTCTGCTTGTGTGTCTCTGTGTGTCTCTCTCTGTGTCTCAGTGTTGTCTCTCTCTCTCTCTCTGCTTGTGTGTCTGTGTGTCTACGTTGTGTCTCTCTCTGTGTGTCTCTGTGTTGTCTCTCTCTGTGTAGCTCTGTGTTGTCTCTCTCTCTCTGTGTCTCTGTGTTGTCTCTCTCTGCTTGTGTGTCTCTGTGTGTCTCTCTCTGTGTCTCAGTGTTGTCTCTCTCTCTGCTTGTGTGTCTGTCTGTGTGTCTCTGTGTCTGTGTTTTGTCTCTCTCCCAAATTTAGTTCTACCTGATGACGGTTGCTTGTGTTGCAATCAAAACGTCGTACTCAATTATTTTATTTATTTTCTTTCTACGTGACTTTACCTAAAGAACCAAAGAGTAAGACAGTGGTTCTTAACCTCTACTGCAGCCTTGCACCCCTTTGGTTCTCAATCGTAGAAACATTATCATGTCAATAAATACATTGGGGGTTGATGAAACAAAGTAGTAGTTGTACTTATATGCCAGTGCTTAATTTGTCTTTCGATTATTTACCTTCCGAAAAAGTCTGGCCATGTCACACACCCCCAGGGTGCGCGTGCACCCCAGGTAAAGAACCACCACTGCTCTAAGATCATCATCAGCCTTGGCGGAGAAGGGCAGCGTTGTGGGGCAGCTTTGGGTGGGAGGGGGGGGGGACCTTGACTCCTTCTCCCCCCTCCACTCCCCCCTCCCTCCTACCCACCTCATCATCCACTCCTGCTGCTGCCGCCACTGGTCATTATCTATCCACAGCTGGATGAAGGCCTCGCCAACACCGCCATCGTCCCTCGTGTTAACGCGATGCCAGAATCCGTCTCGCTCGTGCGAACGAGCGAATCTCATGGCTCCATCTCAACGACGGTCGTCCTCCTGGCCACTGCTTCTCCCCTTCTGACTGACGCCGCATCAACAGTGTTGTCCACGCGCCATCATCCTGGCCAAGCCCCCACGTGTCTTTTCCCCTTAAAAGTAAATGTCTCCAATTTGTGTTTGTTCCCTCATCTAAATAATAATCATTTACATTTATTTGTTCGACGTCTTACACTGATGTCTCAGGGCGCTTCGCAAGAATAAGGAAAGGCCAGGAGAGAAGGAGAAGCTAAATAGAAAATAACGGCCTTAAGAATATCTGGTTTTTAGACGAGACTTAACAGTATAAATACTTAAAAGTATCCACATTATCGGGTACATTAATTTCCAGCGTTCGGGAATTCCACAACCGAGGCGTAGACACAGCAAATATTTCTCTCCCTTTCACAATTTCTGTCTGTCTCTCCCAACATTCATCTCTTCAAGCCGAATTTTCGTTGACCATGCCCACGTTTTCTGACCTAATTGCTACAGCAGGTGATATAACCAGATTAAAAAAGGCTCCGCACATTGATCCAATACTTTTCATTCTCCACGTAATCATTAGGGCCGCTGTGGAGAATACAAATGATGCAATAAAAAAGCGGACGACGTCCCCTTCGCATATCCGTCTCTCCACATAACAAAAAATATATATTTCTCAAATAACCAAGCAGCCGCACGGCTTCCTGGGAATGCAAAATGTCAGCAGCATTGATTCAAGACGAGTAACACTCTGGACCGGTTTTGACAGTCTTTTCGCTGCTAAGACAGTTTAATGAGACCACTTTATCGTTCACTTATTCATGATTATTCACATTTTGAAGAATCATGAATAAGTCCGTCGTTAATAGTCACCTTCGGTGTACTCACTCTGTTTGGTCTTCCAGTGTCACCCCTACAACAGGTGCCGTGGATCAGTGCATTTTAGAAAATAAAAATAGTTTTCTGACTGATGGGGGAAGGACGCAACATAAATGCAGCACGTGTCTGCATCACAGACACGTGCTACAGTGGGCGCCGTGGGCGACAGACGGCAGCGCGGCAAAAAACCCAACGTTGCGCTGCAGTCCTCCCACCTTTGCTAACCATGCATCGACCGGCGTGATGAAGTATGGTCAAATAGCTCTCACGGCCCCCGCACGGTGGCTGGAGGAACCTCGTCCAGCGGTGGACTGTGCACAAACGGGCCGTACATGGGAGTTGACGGAAAAAACAAATACATTTCCAGCCGAAAATGTCCAAACAACAATAGCCGGGTCACATTGTTCACGGGCGTCATTTTCGTAAGCAGCTGAAATGAACCAAATGCAGCTCGCGTGCGGCAAGGGGGATAAAATAAGCACCCCACCGGCTTGGTCACGTTACAGGAAATGTATAGAAATTGACAGAGCAATATATTCAGTGCTTAAGTATACCAGTATATCACAGCCTTGATAGAAACTACATTCAATGGTACTCCAGCACTGGCACCGCAAGCCCGTGGCAACACAGATCAAATCGTTGTGCGCCGTCACAATTGGCGGAGTGAACAGCGCGTTCCTGCACCGTAATTGCATCGGCTCCCTGCATGCCTGGCCGAATAATAGCGGAACATTGCGATTCAATTTTTTGTTCGCATTCCTGCTCTGCAGACACAGGAGATCAAGCGAGAATGACGAGTAGCTCTCCCCTATCGTTGTCAGGTTTGTACGGCGTGTTGTTCGGCACCACGGTCCGACATTTTGACCTCTGTGCTGGGAGCAACGTATTTTAATCCACCAGCCTCTTGATCGGTTTTCCGGAACAATATTGTCAGGCCACGTTTTGTAAGCAAGCAAACTCGAGGCCAATTGGCTGCATGTTTGTATGTTGAACTTCTTTCGCACAGTACGTCGCCAACCGTGCTAATTGGGAGGTACGGAGTGTTAATCAGAGGTGCCTGTTGAACAAATATGAAATACTACCGGATTAGGTCATGTTATGGTCAAGGGCACGCCATATAAAATGTGTAGCACAATAAGTTTAAAGGAGGATGGCCAGTGCGTAACAGGGTTCTCTATAACTCCATTTAGTGTATCGTCCTTCTGCTAGCAGTGGCACGAGCTGGGCATTGCTGGGCCTGAACTTTTACAATTTACAAAGGATAAAAATAGACGTTTTTCTGGGTGGGTAAAAATGCACCTCCTCTGGGCAAATTACCGAGTGGGATTTGTGTTCAACCGAGGTCACAACGCGAACAATGGCACACGCGGTCGGGCACGTGGTATTTGCGTGTCATTCCTGACAGGGGGGGGGGAGTGGAGGGGGCTCACTGGCTTCCTCACTCACTGGAGATTAATCGATGTGGATATCGCCCCCACCGCTGATTGACAGCTTAGTTGGCATGTCGCCGCTTTGCCGGCAACCCAACCAATCCCACGGCAAGCTGCCACCCATGCACAGGAGTACAACTGGGTACTCACCAGCGTAAGTCGACCGGCAGGTCGCGTGTGGTGGACACTAAGTGTGGGTACTCCGAATAGTTGGCCCACATGCCTGCTGAAGAGTTTCTCTAGAGCTCCGTCAAGTGGAGGATCTTCCACCAGCAGTGGCACAAGTAAATTGTCGCAGGGCCGTACCTTTACCTGTTCCCTTCTATTTCAGGCCTTTTCTCGCCAGGTATGTTTTCCCTGACTTGCATCGTGAGGTTTGCAGGTCGGTGTTTTGTACAACGCCCTGGGAGTTTATAGGAACAGGCAGTATTCGTTCGTTCGTTTCTAAATCTGCTTGTCCTGGTGAAGGTCGTGGCCCGCTTGTGCACAGTAAATGCCAGAGCCTGTTAATTGCAAATGTGTCGTAACACGTGACACTATCGTTTCTTCAAGAAAACCTTGCCCGTGGCCCCACATGTCACACAGATATTGTCACCAATGTTTTCCAACGCTGGTAAAATTACTTCTGGATCGCGCGTACATGCCCCCTTTTCCTATTCACTGTTCAGGTGTCAGCCCTTCCTCTTTCCCCTCCGGCTAAGACTGACTCTCTTTTCACTTGAAAAAAATATACATATATGCACCGAGGTCAAGGGGCATAACCACTGCAGATTAGACGGGGAACCGGATTCGGAGGGGTGGAGAGAAAAAATGCCCGTTTAGGACGCCTCTTTTGTTTTTCTTTTCTTCATGTCAGCTGTGTTTCGGTTGTATCGCTCTCTCCTCCTTGTCATCCCTTCCTCCCTTACTTAAAAATAAGTGTCACCCTTTCTCCCTTCGGTGGGACTCCGTATGCTTTGTGGCAGCGCAGCCCTTTCCCCATCTTTCTATCCCCCGCTTTTCATAAGCGGGTTGGCTTGTGTGGACGGTGTGCGGTACGTGCGTCACAACGTGATGTATTGGGCCGACACACATTGCCTCAATGAATACATATATATGCACAGTAGTCATATATACACACCTCTTATTTTCCCCATGAACGCTCGTGCCACCATTTTTGCACAGCAACAACATTCTGTGACCTGCTTTTCAACATCCCCCCTGGGTTTGCTGAAAAACCAAATCAGCTGGCACATCTTGCCCACGTGGCAACTTTAATTTACGATGGGCTCCGTCGGACGGCCGGAGGTGGCTTTGGAGTTAAAACAAACGTCTTACGTTGCATACCTCCACGACGATCTGAAAAAGAAAAACAAATGATGAATCATCTCCAGTGGTTGAGTCACTCCGCATCTCTCACCTTCCATTAGCTGGCCTGTCTTCTCAGCAGCTCCCCCCTGCAGGATGCTGCCGATGTAGGCTCCTGTTTGGCCGCAAGTTCCGGGGATCTCCTTTCCACCCACGATACGCACGCCAAACCCGTTCCCTGCAGCCACAAATGCAGCTCAAAAGTACAGCTCCCTCGAAGCGGTTTCGGCTTGTGCCGTGGTGGATGCGTCGGTGGTGGGTCGGTGGTGGTGCGTTCGGCACGATGTCTGGCGTTTCGGTTCTGTCTGAATTTGGTTTCCAACGTGTGGAGCCAAGCATCGGGAATCGTAACGAACAACGCCCAGTGACACCCAGAAACAAACAAGGCAGCCACGCGGCCCTCAATGTCTGTTTGCGTTGTGCCAGCTGCTGAGAACTGCCATCGGCAAGGGCACTGGCTGGCGCGTTAAATCGGCGAAGAGTCGGGGTACGAGCGTTCGTGAACCCCGGGGAAACGTGTTTCAAGTTTCCATTTTAATTTTGTTTAACCGGGTGACAACTCAAGAGACAAGCATGAGTGACCTTTTTTTGCCTTTACCAAAGTGGAGAGAGGAAACAATAGTGCAAAACAACGTCTGATTTACAACGTGTGCAGATAATAAGAATAATGGAGAGCCCTGTTTTCAATTCACTGTTAGCCTTCCCACACCGTGTTGGGCAAGAGAGTGTTTAACCATACTTCACTACACTGGTCGGTGCTGGTTGCAGAAAATGGTTTCAGGAAGAGTTCAAATATCGCTGTGGCTGTGAATTCACCGCGGTGTGCTAACCACTACACGACTGGCCACGATCAAATATATTCATATGTTTTGGCTTATTTCAGGAAGAACTAAAGTATGAAAGCATATAACACAAAGAGGGGAATGCCAAGGTAATATCGCAACAAACGAGTTTCAAAGTGATCACACGATTGCTTTTTGTGGCTATGAGCTTCACTGTTTGCCTATTTGAACATTCCGACATGAAAAATAACAATAGAGGGTTTTGGGTTAGATCGTGTAAACATAAATGTGTCGTTGAACCTGCCACCACCCGACACAGCCAATTAGTAATGTTTGTCACGTAAACAGAACGTGCCAATTCGTTACTAGTACAGCACATCGGTGTGTTGGAGAGTAAACCCACAACATCTACAATTGCTTTTACTTGTTCAGTGTCCTGAACTCGTAACAAATTGTCGTGTTTTGTTTACGTGACAAACCTTACTAATTCGCTGTTACGGGTGGTGGCTGGTTTAAAAACACATCTATGATGGATAATAAACCTACGTGTTAAAATACAAACTAACATTGCAGCAAGAGAACTGGCCACGAACTCTTGTGGGCATTAAAGGCACCAGAACAATTATCTCGGTACCAGGACGCTGCTCTTTATACGCAAACTTAATGGTAAAGCATCGAGTGATTCTGTGTAAAAATATGGAAACCTCCAGTAGAGAAGGGAAAATAAATATATGATGCCTCTCGCCATATTTTAGAATTTCAATCACCGTTATTTGAGAAATGTAATTTTCACAAGTCTTGCTATGAGATCGCGGACGCATTAAATCATCGCGGCTGACTAAATACGCACCTGCTCCCGCCAGCTTCTTGGATTCAAAAAAGCATTTTAAATAATAAACCAACATCGCCAGCGACGGGAACTAATGGCGAGCTGAGTGGAGGTGACAGCGTGCGCGGTCTCCTGCACGTTTCAAACTGTTCTCAAGCATTCCGCACCTGCTATTGGCAGCGAAGAAATCACGCAGCAGCGGGAGAACGCACGAACCACGCGAACCGCACCACTCGCTGCACAGGGACCGACTGAATCGGCGCGCGGAGGCAAACTTCCACGTCGTCGTCGCCGCTCACGACGCTCACGTAAAAAATTTTTGGCGAGGCCAGATGCATTGGCGGACAAGCACGCCGATGCCCCCCCCCCCACATGAGGGAGCTGTAGCGACGACGGCGTGCTTAATATCACCCCCCCACGTGAACACGGCCCTGCTGTGCGTCGCGACCAGATCTGTCCGCCTCTTGAGGGAGAGGAACGGCGGCTGACCTGAGACGCTGCGCTCCTGGGAGTCCTGCGAGAGCCGAATCCGGGAATGGGGGAAGTCGTACTTCTGCAACCGTTCGGGAAACTGCAGGCAGCGGGGCAGGAGAACGAGACGCAAAAAGACGGAGGAGCGCACGACTCACGCACAGCACACGCGATTCACGCACAGGTGTAGCCCGCACCTGCCATTAGTGCGGTTGGCTACGTACGGCGTGAAAGAAGTTCAACATGCGTACGTACGTGCGTTGTCGAGGAGCGGGCAGCGTCACCGTAGGCACCAACAGAAAGAGACGCGTACACGCGGGCGGTGCAGTGCCGACGTGGCCGAGCGGTAGTGCATTTGCCGCCACGCGGTTCTAACCCAGCATCCGCCCTGGTCGGCGCCTCCGATTAGCACGGTGGGCTACGTACGGTGCTGCAGAAGTTCAACGTACATACATGCAAGACTGCGGTGCATTAAAAAAGATTGACCAACTACACGCAATCTGCTTCGCAGTGGCCGTTAGAGATACCCTGACGTCGTTATAAGAACGAGTAGGAAACGTATGGCGGCGTCCGACGCCAAATTACTTAATTGGGCGAACCGAGATCACTCCCTACTGATAGAGGCTCTAATTCACCTGCCAAGCAACTAACCATGCTGTCCTCTTTAACGTTGTTGGGGGTTAAGAAACTTTACCATCGTTCCAACTACCACGGGAGGAGTTCGAACCGGCGACTTCTCGGTTGCATGTCCAGCGATCAAACCGGTATACCATGGGCAGCGTCCCGTCGATGTCAGTACCTGGCTCATTTAAATTACAGCGTAATTATGAAGCGGCCGAAACTAAACGTTCCTTTAACAGGATGTGCCCTTTTGCAGATCTGTACCAGACGGTAAACGCAAAACACGTTGATTAATTTGGCTGTCTATAAATGGGCACGTGATAAGCCACTTCGATGAGCTATCATTTGTGGCCAGGTGGCTTCTGAAAAAGAGCTGTGTAGCTCAGTGGGGCCTTACCTGGTAAAATAAAAAAAAGTTTAGTTTGAGTTGATTTATTTTCATTTTTTGCTTACCTTTCCTATACGTTCTACTCCTGTAGTGTTTTTTGTGTTGTCTGTTGTAACGTTCTGACCCCGTGCCCCTCCGAGACGCCAGTGAAAAAGAGCTTTATAACTCGTCGGATTTCTCCAGGATAAATAAAGATCCTGATTCGTATTTTTGCAGAAACTGTTCTGCAGAAACAAAGCCTCGTCAAGTAAAACTTTGTTGTTGTTCTACTGTACATCAATAATAATAAAATAATTTACATCTGTAAGGTGCATTTCATGCATGGATCCCGATGCGCCACCGTGTATGGAAAGCAGGAAATAAACATACCCAACAGACCCTGCGGGGTAAACAGCTAGAGGGGGAGGGGGTATAAATGCCCAGTTTAAGGAGGTGAGTTTTGAAGACAGATCTTAAATATCTCTAACGATTCTGATTTGTCTTATTAGCAAAACAGGGGCAAAGAGTTCCAAAGATTCAGAGCTGCACTGGCAAAAAGCCTGACGGCGAGAGACGACGCATGAGAGAAGGTATTCGCTCGGCACAAGACATGCGTTGGTGGAGCAGAGCAACCAACGAATCGTCTGCTGTTTGAAAAAATAAATGAAAGCTACTCTGTCAACACGGTACTAAGGATGGGAATGTTTTTTTTTCAAATTGGTGGGACATGCTGTCCTTTGTCCCATTACCGTCGCCCACGTATGAACAGCCGCACTCAGGCTCGCGCGCACAAGTACAAACTGTGCGGCAGTGATTTAAAAACAACGACGGGGGTTTTTTGCCAATCATGTCATGCCAGAATTTTACTCCCAAATGTTAAAATCGTTCCCAGGGAATTTAACTTGCAAGCGACTTGGGCAAACGATATTAAATCCCATTAGCAGCGACGCCAACATCATCAATTGAATGCGTGCATTCATCGCGCGCGGTGGGGGGGGGGCGTTAAACGGGAAAACGATATTTTAGCAACACACTCACATCGGCAGGCAGACAATCAATGCCAGGGCGCTGTGCCCTGCGGAATGATGAGCAGACGGGATGCAGTGCCAGCATGCATCCTAGCTTTGCCCCTTTCCAGCGAGGAGATTGTCAAAAATAATGAAGCATCCGATTTTTTTCGCTTGTCTTAAGCACATCTTCTCTGAACAGACGACGAGACGATGAAGAACCGCACCAAACAGTTCAGACAGGTAACATCGTCACGTGTCTACAACAGGAGACAATGTGCCACGTCTATACAAATTATATCATCGTCCTTTTGTTATTATGGCTCAGCGGTACAGCGAGCCAACTCGCAATCCAGTGCCGTGGTGGTGAGATGTTAACTCCATCGCTTGGTATGCAGGTCATGTTCTCTGTCCTCGTAGTCGCGTGGATCTTTCAGTCCAAATTTAGAATCAACATCACACGTTTAGAGGATTTGGCTGCTCGAAATTTCCACGTGATAAGACACTTAATTGAGCTTTCATTTGTGGCCAGGTTGCTTCTGAAAAATATCTAAATAGCTCAGTGGGCCTTATCTGGTAAAATAAAAAATAGTGTCGTTTTCAATCCGTACGTTGCAACTTCATATCCTGGTTGGGGGTTGACTCAGCCTTATCATCTCTGCGGTGGATAAAATAAGTATCACATGGTGGGGCTTTCAACAGCAGTTGTTCTAGACCAGGGGTCGGGAACCTATGGCTCGCGAGCCAGATGTGGCTCTTTTGATGATTGCATATGGCTCGCAGATAAAACAAAATATTCTCACTTGTTTTAATCCATCCATCGATTTTTCACTGCGCATGTCCTGTTCAGGGCTGCAGGAGCAATTGTCCATTATTTTAATTGGATGATACTGGCCTACGTTTGCCGTTGCTGGGTAAAACAGGTAAACGCCCCCTTTTGAATCAGTCTGAGACTGCGTCTGCTCGGTCATTAGCTCAAAGCTAACCCTTCGACGAAGAAGATGGCGAAAAGAAAAAAAGACGACGAGTATCGTACATTTCAGGACGAATGGACCGAAGAATTCGCCTTTGTGGAGAGAGCGGGTTCTGCGGTGTGTCTAATTTGCAATGACAAAATTACATCGTTGAAACGGTCGAATGTAAAGCGGCACTTCGACACGCGCCACGCTACCTTTGCATCAAAATACCCTGCGGGAGACAGCAGAAAGAAAGCGTGCCAAGAGCTGAGCAGGGTGCAAGCTAGCCAGCAGCAACTCCGCGTATGGACCCGGCAAGGTGACTATAATTCGGCTAGCTTTGCTGGTTCTTTAGCAATAGTGAGGAACGGAAAACCATTCACAGATGGCGAGTATGCTAAAACGTTCATGCTGGATGTAGCCAATGAACTTTTTGATGATCTTCCGAACAAAGACAAGATAATCAAACGGATACAAGACATGCCTCTGTCGGCAAGAACTGTTCATGATCGTACCATCGTGATGGCAAACAAAGTGGAGGAAACGCAAGTGAAGGACATAAATGCAGCGCCGTTCTTTTCTCTGGCTTTGGATGAGTCAACAGACGTGAGCCATTTGTCGCAGTTCAGCGTGATTGCAAGATATGCTGTTGGTGACACACTGCGCGAAGAAAGTCTTGCTGTTCTGCCATTAAAAGGGTCCACAAGAGGTGAGGATTTATTCAAGTCTTTCATGGAGTTTGCTCAAGAAAAAAGTCTACCTATGGATAAACTTCTCTCAGTGTGTACTGATGGTGCTCCGTGTATGGTGGGGAAAAACAAAGCATTTGTGGCGCTTCTCCGTGAACATGAAAATAGACCCATCCTAAGTTTCCATTGCATTATACACCAGGAGGCACTTTGTGCTCAGATGTGTGACAGGCAGTTTGGCGAAGTGATGTCGCTGGTCATTCGTGTGATCAACTTTATTGTTGCCCGAGCCTTAAATGATCGCCAGTTTAAAACACTGCTGGATGAAGTTGTAAATAACTATCCTGGTCTGCTTTTGCACAGCAATGTGCGTTGGTTGTCAAGAGGGAAGGTGCTTAGCCGTTTTGCGGCTTGCCTGAACGAAATCCGGACTTTCCTTGAAATGAAAGGCGTCGGGCATCCTGAGCTAGCCGACACCGAGTGGCTCCTCAAGTTTTACTATCTCGTAGATCTGACTGAACATCTGAACCAGCTCAACGTGAAAATGCAAGGCATTGGAAATACAGTGTTATCCCTTCAACAAGCTGTATTTGCTTTTGAAAACAAGCTGGAGCTTTTCATCACGGATCTTGAAACAGGTCGTTTACTACATTTTGAAAAACTGAGCCAATTTAAAGATGCATGCACAGCAAGTGAGCCCATTCAAAACCTTGATCTCCACCAGCTAGCTGGCTGCACATCCAGTCTCCTACAGTCCTTCAAAGCACGCTTTGGAGAATTTCGTGAGCACACTCGTCTTTTTAAGTTCATCACCCATCCAAACGAGTGTTCACTGAACACAGCCGACCTGAATTACATCCCTGGTGTCTCCGTCAGAGATTTTGAAGCAGAAGTGGCTGACCTGAAGGCCTCAGACATGTGGGTGAATAAGTTCAAGTCACTGAATGAAGATTTGGAAAGAATCACACGACAGAAAGCGGAGTTGGCGAGCAAGCACATGTGGACAGAAATGAAAAAACTCCAACCCGAAGACCAGCTGATTCTCAAAACTTGGAACGCGCTTCCTGTCACATACCACACACTGCAGCGTGTGAGTATTGCTGTATTGACCATGTTTGGATCTACGTATGCATGTGAGCAGTCATTCTCACATCTTAAAAACATCAAGTTCAACCTACGATCACGTTTAACGGATGAAAGCCTCAACGCTTGCATGAAGCTTAACCTCACCAAGTACCAACCCGACTACAAAGACATCAGCAAATCCATGCAGCACCAGAAGTCGCATTAATGGTGAGTGTTATAACAACATTATTTAAAAGAATAAATTCAGAGGCTTATTATACTGACATTTAGTTGAATTCACTTTTAAAATATATTATATGGCTCTCACTGAAATAAATTTCCAATTTTTTTTGCTTTCATGGCTCTCTTAGTCAAAAAGGTTCCCGACCCCTGTT